TGGATGGCCGACTCCGTCATTTGGGCGGGGATTACCGCCCAAACATCGCCCTTAAGAAGCCTACAAGCAGAAATCTGAAACAACCTAAGAATAAATCCTAGACTCAGCAAGCACACATATTTATAGTAGATAAATAGGTGGGAAAACCAAAAAGGGGGACATGTGGTGCTAGGGCTGTATTTGAAGACAAGTGGTACTTCGGCTGTATCCTGCCCTGATGTGGTGATTATCCATTCAATTCCCTCCACGTTTCCCTCCTACTTACTCCTAACCGGCTTGCACCCTCTCTCACCTATTCCCGCTTCTAGTCGCCGACCACCTCTCCCACCCCTCCTGATCTAGCTGCCAACCATCCACACCACCTCTCCCCTACTCCTAGCCGCCGGCCACCCTCTCCTACCCCTCCAGATTCCACTGCCAGTCACCAACTCCTCCCTAATCGTAACTGCTGGCCACCCTCTCCTACCCCTCCAACTTCTTGTTTTTTGTTTTTCTTTTCCTCATTGTGCTTCTTTTATGTTTTCTGTTATTTATGAAAGATGAGATTATGCCATTATGTTTAGTCATTTTCACTGCAACCAAGAGTTTTCTCTAATGTGAATTTCATTCACATGCTTGACTTTCATGATCTTTAATTATTGTTGATATTGTTAAGTTTAGATTTTGTATAAGATTTTGCATTGTTCTTCTCTCTTTGGTTTGCTTAGAAGCTGTAAGTCTGTTCAACATTGCAGGTCACTGCAGAGGATGAATCAGGGATTCGCATCTGGGATCTCCGAAATTCCAAGTTTCCCATTGCTGAGCTTCCTGGGAATGTGCATTGGTAATTTCTATTATTTTTCTGTAAGACTACAAACATAAGCTTTTTTTAGCTAATTAGTACATAACAGACTTGGATAGTTTGCTTAACTGTTATTTTTCTCTCGCATTCATATGATGGCTGAGCTTTTTTTTTTTTTTTTTTTTTGAAAAATTTACATTTATAAGTATTTACATATTTAAGACCTAAAACTTGATATTTACACTTATAACACTCTGGTGTCATGAACCTATTGCATGAAATGGTGTACTTCACTTTTAAAATGTTATCAATAGTGATATTTTTTATGTGATACTAAAGATTAGAGTGTTATGTTGTTGACCTCATTTTTATGTGATACTAAAGATTAGAGTGTTATGTTGTTGACCTCATTTTTAGTGAGGTCTAATCTTTCTCTTAGGATTTAGGATCTAGCCTTAGGGATCTCCCTTCGACTATCTTAGAACCTTAGAAATGGGACCCACCTTGTTCTAGAAATTCAACCCGCTTCTGTACTCTTTTGTGGTTTCGCGTGTGTGGTATCGACTTCTAACACTTAGAAGGATGAAACC